CACAACAGTTTGTGCTTAGCCGGTTTAGACACTTATTAATTCTGCTCTTTAAGCCTTCACTAGAAGTTGTGTCAGAATTTATGCCAATCGGGACTGCGTACGCATTTAAGGAGAAACGAATATGCAGCATGCTAACCAATTTATTTGATCAAATTTTCTATAATTGCGCCTTCTTAGTAGCGCTTTTTGAATGTCATTTGAGTGGTTGGCCAGAAAGTCACCGTTCCGAAGTTGAATGTTGAGCCAGTGATGATTGATGGTAATTTCAAACCCCGTCGACCTTTAGCAAGTTATTCAATAAATCATCCCATTTGAGCTCTGCTATTTCATAATCGGTAGCACATCTTCTCTTGCTCAACAGCATCCATTTTTCAGTTTAACAGGTTCGTGGATAGTAAAAATTTCAGTGAGGTACAAAAAAATCTGCGAACCTGATTAAATACATGCTCTAAGAATACGTAAAAGATCATATTTTAATCAACAATGCTGCAGCATTTACGGCAATATAGATCAAATACGATCGAATGCTATAGCATTCATATAAGAGACAACTTGAGCGGAAAAGGGACAATGAGAAAATCTGTTCTCTTCCTCGGGTAGAGAAATTTATGAATTTGAAGGTATTGCAAGTAAATTTGTGAATACGCAAGGAAAAAACAAGTAAAAACATTACAGTCGGGCAAGGCAGACCATTAGATACCCTACGCCAAATTGTCTAACACAATTCTTGCTTTTTTATGAAATTACTATTACGAGGTAATTTTCATCACCACATATTAAAGCTTAGACGTTTCTGCTCTGCAAAGAATCAATTTTCATGAAAATCCTCAGATTCCAAAAAGTAGGCCGGGATGTTCCAAATTTGGTACAGTTCATTTTTTTATGTTAAATTCAATGCTTCATCATGAAAATTATATTTTTTTGCCATATGAATTTCAGTCTTCGTTATATGAAAGGCTGTTCAAAAATTTTCTCAGCCGCTCCATAGTTCTCATATCGACTTAAAGCGTCGAAATATTATTACTTAATCCCCTTTTGCCAAGAAATTTTAAAAATCTCAATTTTTTTCTTCATATTACGATTTTTCAGTATAGGGCGTTATATGTGCAGTGGTTGAAAAAGTGGTCCAATCCGAGCCATTTTCAATAGCCCACCAAACTTCATTAAAATATTTCAAAAATTGCGACCTATAGTTTGAACACAAATTTACGGACAGACGGACAGACAGACTTAGATCAATTCAGATTATAATTCTGATCGGTCCACTAAAAGGTGGATGTATCTATTAAGCGCTTTTGTGGGTTACATACGTTCGCACTAACTTAATATACTCCGTACCACAAGTGATAGAGGATATAATGAAATAATCTGAAAAAATCGAAAGAATCAGTTAATCAATATTTCAGCAAGCAAAGTAATTAAAAGCCACCGGGATTTTTGCATCACAATGAAAATGAATGTTAAAACATTCAAGACCGTGAACGTGTTAATAGAGGCTTTCACTCTCAATCCCCTGAACAAACACATAAACTAGGTTAATAAAGCTGCTTGGGAGAATCATTGATTAGTTCAAATATATTCCGATGAAAATGGTGCACGAACAGCATTCATTCAATTAATACACAGATCTTAAGGTGATTTTTAATACGTTCTGATTGTCTGGCAATATGTCATCATCACGACTATAATGGTGTTAACGCGATGCTTATCGCTTGCAGTTCCTTATGCTCATTGCTTAATTTCTTAATACAACTTAAATGCTTAGGGAAGTTTTAGAACCTAATATTGTCGCCGATCTTTTAAAACTTTTGTAATCCTTGTCTAGGTTTTGTGTAGGGATTACTTAGTAACTGTGTAATTTATGTCATTGTGAGTTGCTCAATATCGTATCAATCGATCATATCAATTTTTAATTTTCGCTGAATTTCTAGTATGTGTCGGTCGAAAATTGGATCTATTGATGAAGAGCTTTTGTTTATTGGCTTAGACATTCTGCGGAGGGCGTTACGGCGTTGCTTTTCTCAAAGCCTTAACAAACGAGCAACACTATAAATTTAGCATGTAGCGATTAGGTATAGTGAGGTTTAAAGGTATGCTTCTTAAAGTGATGATTACTACTATTTGCTGTTAAAATGAAAAAAGGTCATATTCTCCTATTTTAAATGAAAGAAAAATTTGTTATTTGCATTAGGCCCTCACGACAGCCTGCTTAAATGATTTGGTGAACATAAAAACAATTTGACCCTTTAATTGCGGTTCGAATGGGCATGAAGTACAAGGAAATATTTTTCATCATATTTTTGCCATATGTGAAAGAGATGTAAGCCAAAACATAATATGTTTCTCACATGACTTTCTCTTACAGCCTTGTCTAGCCCATTTAGTAAGTTGCCCATAGGAACAAAGTGAAGGAACAAAGTGAATTATCTACCAAGTCTACTAAAAGGAAAAATTCTTTAATAACGTTTACACAAAACTTCGGAAATAACACACTATACACACTAGATTACACGTTCTATATATGTATATATATATATATATATACTTATATGTATATGTTATATGTATTATGTTTCTATCCAAGCTTCCAACCTAAACGGAAATGAAGATACAAGTAAACAAAACTTTAACGTTGCATTTCCTCGATCGCTGTACTTGTTTTTGTTATTTGAGTGTATACGTATGTGCGTGTATGTGTGTGTTTGAGAAAAAGCAAGTCTCACTATTTATTATTTTATATTTTACGCTTCTTGTAGGCATAATTTTCTTACATCTCTTTATGGAAAACTAAATGACGTCACATTATAGTTTTTCTTGATATTGAAAGATAAAGCCTCTCTTAAGAGCGTTTAAGAAAAAAAAAAAAAAAAAAACAAAGTGACACTTTAACAGTAGCAATAGTTACTTAGGCATGTGTGTATGATTGCAAAGTAAAATAGAGAAGTACGCCAACGTTACCATTGATGACGCTATAACCGGTTATAATTATCAATTCAACTAGTTAGACACACTTACCAGTTACCGAAAGTAATTGTAAGAAAACGCATACCATCGAAAAGAGAGTAAAAGTGATCGATTGAAAATGCAAAGTAAACATCAAAACAACTTTTGCTTTCGTTATAAATAAAATACGATTGAACAAGAAATGCGCCGTAGAGAGAAGCCGAGATAGAGAAATAGAAGAGAAACGACGCACGTACACACACACACACACACACATCACACACAATAACGTAATAAATGTTAGCATATGTTACAGCATACTATTCATAGCTTTCGCTTACATATGTAAGTAAATAAAAAGGAAAAAGAATTGTTGTTGTGTATGCGCTATGCGTGTGTGTGTGTGTGCTTAGATATCGAGAGAGAGAGAGAGAGAGAGAGAGAGAGAGAGAGAGAGAGAGAATGACGCGTAACAGGAGGAGGTAGTCTTGTGCGCACACAAACTTTGTGTATGAGGTTTAAGGCATGAAATGCGAAAAAACTATGCTTTTGCTCTTTTTCTAAGGAGAGTAGAAAGAAGAGAGCTTTTCTGTTATTAGCTTTTTAATGGAGTTTCATTTTCGGTCTTTTTTTTCTTTGGGTTTTGTTCGGTTTTTGAAATGTGATCGGAAGACCTAATTTCATGTTTTTCTTTGTTTAACGAGTTTTTATATGTTATAATTTAATGAGTTTTTATTTTTTTAATTTTTTTTTTTTTTTTTTTGGAAATGTCGTATATATACACACACATATAAATATACATATATAAATAAGTTTGCTTATGTGCACATATACATGCATTCGGGATGGTGGGTCTGACTTATACTTCAAAAAATATATGCCTTTCAGTTACAAATTAACGATTGTGGTTAACGGACAGAGTTGAAAAAGAACTTCACTTTGTTATGATTTATTATAAGAAAATAAACAGCTGTTTGTGTGCTTCTTCGTTGTTTATGATAAACATAAAAATGACGTCTTACTCTCTTGCAAAAATGCTCTTTTAGATTTTTCTTTCTTTTTTTTTTTTTTTGAGAATTGAGCATAGAAAGAAAAAGATAAAGCTCTAAATGAGAATTGTATAAATTACATATACACGCACACATACATATACAGACACATGCATACGTAAATGGTGTGTTACATAGTATTATGCGATCGCTTCGGGGATATACGTCACTGACTTGCAAGACAATTTCCCGACCTCCTCTCCGTGAAAACGTTAAGTTTACGATTTCAATTCATTCATATCTTCAAAATTAAGTTAAAAAAGAAACAAAAAAATTTTTGTCTTTAACTGTTGCTGTTGCCGCTATGTCGGTATTAGTATAGTTTAGCCGATCTCTTTGCTGTTTGTGTGTCGGTGTGGCTGTGTGATACGGATTCATATGTAATATCACAACCAGAAGTGCAGTTAGCGAACACCATCAAACGGATGCGGACGCGCACGTCTTGTAATAAAATATGAGAAATAGAAAAAACAAATACAAGAAATATATAAAATCTGTTGCATCACTTGTGAAACACTTCAGTCGAATGTAGACGACGGTTGTTAAAACAAAAATCGAGAGACGTCGAGTGTCAAGTGTTTTTCTATATTATCATCATTATATACATATATCTATATATATATATATATATTTATATATATATATATTATCTTTCAATATATAAAAATAAAGTTACAACGAAATAAAAAAAAAAAAGGAAAATTATTTTAAAAATTAAACGGAAAAAGACATTAATATATTTTTAAAGAATTTTAAGTAAAATTTGAAACGAGTTAAAAGTTTTTTCTCGGAAACGGAAGTGTTATCAAAAGGATTCTAACTAAAACTAATAAGGAAACAATTATATCCAATAATCCAAAGAATCTTTATACCTCATTATAAAAGTGCTCAAAATTCTATATAGAAAAAAAAAAAATTAATTTTAATAATAAAGCAAATAAGTAATAGGAAAACAAAAATAACAAAAAAAAAAAAAAAAAAAAATAAAAATAAATAAAAAAAAAATAAATAAATAAATAAAAAGACGTTTAACGGCATTCAAAAACATTAACATTAAAAATTGTTTCTAAAATTGATTTAATGAAGCTATCTTCGAAGAGTTCCAGGACTCTTTCGTTTTTGTTGATCTTATGATTCATTCCTTAAGCTTAACTTTCTTACACGACAAAGAGGAAAAAAAAACATGATTGAAAGCAAAAAAATACCAATTGAAACGTTTTAAAAGCAAACTAAGAACCTTTCAAAGAAAGCAACAAAAAAAAAATAAAAATAAAAATTAAAAAAAAAAAGGAATTGTTTTCTTTCCTCATACTTTAGTAAATATTCTCCGTCAAAATTTTACCTTCATTTTCACAATTAAAAATGCTCAACATGGAATCGCCACAAATGTACGATAACGTACAAACTTTGACACAATTGGATTTGAAAAAACAACCGCCTCCTCAGCAGGCAATTATTGGACAAATCACTTTGACGGCTATGTCGGGAATGCCCAATAACAATGCGAATCCAAATGTCAATAATAGTAATAACAATGCCACACAAAACGGTACAGTACCAAATCCTGCTGACACTGCTAACTCGATAGTATCAAATGTTCAACAGCAACAGCAACAACAGCAGCAGCAACAGCAACAACAACAACAACAACAGCAACAACAACAGCAACAACAACAACAACAACAGAATGGTGGTGGCGGTCTCGTGGTGAAGCAACATGCTATGCATCAGATGCATAATGCTGCAGCTGCTTTAAATAATAACAACAATGCATCGGCTTTGAATGCCAACGTAAACAATGTGAACAATTTGTTGCAAAAGCAAATGTTGCAGCAATATAGCCAATCGGAATTGGATGAGTTGACGGCTCAAGAGATCTCATTGGATTTGCAGCATTTGATAGATGATCAATTTCGCGATCAAGAAACCCTAGGTATTTTCAGTGATATGGTAACGAGTCCTGGTGTACTGACAGCTACTCTACCCTCCAATGGTATGGTTAGTGCGGCCGCTAAAGTTTTGCAACATCATCAATTGCAACAGCAGACCTTACGAACTCAACAACATCAATACGGACGTAATCCATTGGCTTACATGCCGCAGGCAGTTCATGCCGGCGCCTCTTACAGTACTCATTCTAGTGATGAAAACTCTTCAATAGGCTCAGATACTTCGACTATTAAGGAGGAACCCATAGATCCGGATTATCGAAGACACCTGCACGAAACAAATGTAGCCGCTAATAATGCTGCGGCTGCCTTTATTACGAACGGAGGCACAAATGGTCTTTATAATCCCTATCAGAATGCCAATGGTACGGTCAATACAAACGGTAACGTTTCACAGAATCCAAATAATTTTAATGGTCTTACCTCGGCCAATGTTTTGGCTCATCATTCTGCTGTTAATTTGCCTCATTTGGCAGCCGGTGCTCATCTTCTGAAACACCATAATAAGCAGCTGCAAAATCAACGCAAATCTTCGATAAAACATATAGACAAAGGTACCGAAGAATATAGAAGACGTCGAGAACGCAATAATATTGCGGTACGTAAGTCAAGAGAAAAAGCCAAAGTTCGCTCCCGAGAAGTGGAGGAACGCGTGAAAACCCTGCTTAAAGAAAAGGAAGCTTTATTAAGGCAACTTCAAGAGATGACCAATGAATTACAACTACATAAACAAATTTATATGCAATTAATGAATCATAGTAATCCTGAAGTGAGTCGCGTTTGTCGAAGTTTTCTCAATACTAACGACCATGGTTTGTAAAGTGGATAGGGCGACGTCGTAGCAGAGGAGAAAACCAAAGCAGACACACAGACTGAGTGCTGAAATATATATATATATATATATATATGTATATATAAATTTTTTTTTTTTCTTTTTAATTTCCATATTTATACTTTCACGGGCGGTTAGTTTACTTCCGGGAGAGAAAAAAACAAAAAAAAAAAAAAAGAAAACTTTTTAGTTAAATTTGTTATTAGATTAAGAATTTTTTTACGCTACTTTTCATTACATAAATATTATTCACAGGCATTCCTCCACAAATAGTTGCGTTGTTAGTACTAAAAATTATGCTGAGCACTTTCGTATTCTTTTAAATCTAATGGAAGAGAGAATCACAGGAAAAAAGGAAAGCAAGTTTTCTTCTTATTGTATAAGACTTCATCGGTGAAAAAGAACTTGAACTGATCAGTTTAATGGAAATTAACGAGACTCGTATGGGTCTTGTACTGGCGCAGTGTAAATATTGTGCGGAAGGATAGATCAGTTGACTCATGAAAAGTCTGGAAAAAGAGTTAAAATTTATAGGCATTTTGAGTATTTGTTTAAGGGCCCGAGTGTCGTTCGAAATGCATGATTTTTCGTGCGGGTCTTCGAAAAGGGTTTCCGTTATATCCGACTTCAATCGAGTTGAAAACATTCAAACTCTTTCAGTCTTCCTTCGGTAATAGTTTAAGTTCGATATGGTTTACTTACTAACGTCCTGTCTTTCGGACTATGAATCTTGGAAATAAAATTTAATTTAAATATAAATTAAAAAGAAACTTTCAAATGTACTCAGAAAGAAAAAAAAACTGATAAGACTTTTTGAATCTTTCGCGGAACTATTTGCTAAGCGCCTTTGTTCAACTTTAAGGGAATCCTTTGATGTACAGGACAATTGTATTTTTTAGACTCGCTAAACCAATAACAATTCGTATCAATGTTCCACAAAAAGAAAGATTACTTGTCTCCCTTAAGAGACTACTTATTTGGAGAAATTGTCTAACGACTTTGAACCTGACGACCTGAGTCTATTAAGTCCTTTTGTATTAAGCAAAACGATTTTAAAGTTTACTTTTGTCGTAGCTGGGGTAATGAATATCGGAAAGTTGTTCTTCCTATTATTAATAATTTCGAAAGGTAAAAGGACGCAACTATTCTTAACTTATATTAAGCAAAAGTGGTCACTCTACTAAATAGTGTGCACCACTTCGCTCAACACAGTTATTTCTTACGTTGTTTTCGTATTCGTGTAACGACTTCGATGAAGTAAGACGCCATAAGGGGAGAGACCGAAAAGCGATGAAATAAGACGCCTTATGGGAAGAGACCGAAAAGGAGG